GTGCAAGGTGTGGAGTGTAAAGTGTGGAGTGTGGAGTGTGGAGTGCAAAGTGCGGAGTGTAAAGTGTGGAGTGTAAAGTGTAGAGTGTCGAGTGTGGAGTGCAGAGTGTGGAGTGGAAAGTGTGGAGTGTGGAGTGAGGAGTGCAAAGTGTAAAGTGTAAAGTGCGGAGTGTAGAGTTTAAAGTGTAGAGTGTAAAGTGTAGAGTGTGGAGTGTGGAGTGTGAAGTGTAGAGTGTGGAGTGTGGAGTGTGAAGTGTAGAGTGTAAAGTGTAGAGTGCAAAGTGCAGAGTGCAAAGTGTGGAATGTAAAGGGTGGAGTGTGGAGTCTGGAGCGTGCAGCGGGTAAAGTGTAGAGTGTGGAGTGGGGAGTGTAGAGTGTAGAGTGTGGAGTGCGAAGTGTGGAGTGTAAAGACTACAGTGTCGAGTGTGGAGTGTAAAGTTCAAAGTATGGAGTGTAAAGTGTGGAGTGTGAAGTGTAGAGTGTAAAGTGTGGAATTCAGTGTGCAGTGTGGAGTGTGAAGTGTAAATGGTGGAGTGTAGAGTGCGGAGTGTAGAGCACGCAATGCGACACGTCTGAAGTGCTGCGCCTGCCACGCAAAATGACGACAGAGATCTCCAAAATGCTGCGACTGCCACGAAAACTGCAACTGGGATTGTGCAAACCACGCACAAAAGTATTGCGCTTCCCACACAAAACGACTTTCGACACGTTATATCAACAGGTTGGAATGTCACAAAGTGCCGTGCTTGCCACGCAAAACGACATGACAACCTGCGTGGAAACCTTTGAAAAGGAGAGGTTTTGCAGCTTCCCCCATAGACACGGCGAGGCCACAGGAAAACCAGAGACTCGAGACGAGACGCGTGGGAGCATCAAAACGAGCATTTCGTGCAAGACTTCGTCCAATTTTCACACTTTGTAGCTTCAGAATCGATGTTTTCCTATACGAGTTTTACCTCAAAATCGATGTTTCGTGCGAGGCTTCCGTCAATTTTCATCACATCTCACAAAATGCCACGCCTGCCACGGAATTTGCACCTTGTCACCAGTTGTGACGCAGCCCTGAACTAGCCCTGACAGTGCGATCTGCGAAAACACGCGACACGACAAGTCTCAAGTGCTGCGCCTGCCACGCAAAATGACGATGGACACGTCCGAAGTGCTTCGCCTGCTAAAACTGCAACGCGTCTTCCGAAAACGTCGCAAAAGTATTGCGCCTGCCACATGTTACAAAACACGTCTGAATGTCACAAAGTGCCACGCCTGCCACGCGAAACGAAGCAACACGACGTTTGAAACCTCCAAAAATGACCCCTTCTGCAGAACTGAACACAGGCACGGCCACGGGGATCGCACGAACGGTTGCGAACGGTTGCGAATGGTTGCGGACGGTTGCGGACGGCTGCGAACGGTTGGCAACGTCGAGCGAACACACCCTCAACTCCCAGACCCTGCAGAGTGAAACGGGAACCCTTGCTACGCATTCGGGAAAAACGCTACTCATCTGAATTCAGCCAAGGTGACCTTGGGTGTGGCACCCTCGGGAACATGCAAATGGATGTTGGCCGCATCCAGGAAGGTATTCTCTGGATCCAACCTGAGCAGGTGCAAGTCGGACAGGTAAGGGGAGTGACCATTGGCTTCTATTGAATTTTCTCTGCTTTCTCTCCGAAAAGCACGATGTAGAAACTTGAGCCTTGGAATTTGGTGATCAAGAAGGCCATGGAAGGCGTATCATGAACAATTGTTAGAGGCCTTTTGTGGCACTTCTCCCAACCGATCAAGGCTTTTGCAGTTCATTCAGCACCCAACTCACGCATAAACAAACGGGCATAGGTCAAGGAGATCGAACTTGACCTTAGAAGTGGTAGTCACTGGTAGTGCAGATCCTAATGCAATTTCACCTTGTTTGGTGCTGCCAACTTTGCTGCGCAAGCATCGGTTAAACTCTCGCCAGAAGACTGACACTCCACACCTGTTTTTTTTCGCTTAGTCTGATGTTTGGAATGGGCCTCATTGGCTTTGATATTGATGCTTTGATCAGTATCAACTGTACATATCAGGATGGTTTAATTCACAATACACTAATGTACAAGATCACAATGACTTAATCAGGATCTAGCTTGCTCTTCTGGCATTCCCTTACAAATGAGGCGCAATTTCAAAACATTGATGTCTCCGATGAAAGTTGCGCTGAACTCAAACAGCGCCAATCGCAATGGCTGAAAGCACCATGACAAAGCTGGGGAAGCTATTTGCTGCATCTGAAGTGATGATTGGCGCAAATCCACCCCTTCCATCACAAGAATTGCAGGCACCGGGATTGGTGCAGTGGCAGACTCCGCAAGTCACCAGCCCAGCAGCACAGACTCCAGATCCATGACTTCCATTTGCAGAAGAGCTGGCAAGTGCAAGGCCAACCATGCCATCGCACCACTTACGCGTAGATTGAGATACCCTTCTGCATACACTGCAATGGCAGTCGACCAACTTCTCCAGTTTGCGGGTGTGGTGGGTCTCATCCTGAAGCTTTGAAACTGTTGACACAAAAAGTGTCAAAGTCAACAAGAACTGGATGGTGCTCGATTCCTGGCCATGAGATCTGTGCAACGTGAAAGGTTTCTTGAGCCAGATGCTGTGTCGCATCATTAGGTCACATCCGTCCCCCCAAGCCATGTACATCTAATGGTCATCTAATGTATATAATCTATATTTGCACATGTGCATATACATATTATATATATATATATACACATGTATCTATATATAAAACTAGGAGCACGGCCCCTAGATGGCCGTGTGTTTTTTTTATTCATTGGATGTTGTCGATGATATTGGATGTGCTCGTGCCAGTAAGAGTTTGTATTACTTTCGTGTAAAGGCAGTCAACGCCTTATTTACAGGCAGCAGAATGAACAATGCAATTTCGCCTACACGAAACCTCCATTTTTGTGCACTCTTGACAGCACCCAACTCAATGGTTTCCGCAATTTTTCAGCCGTCTTTTGTTCACAGCAGCACTTCAAGTTCTTCCAAGCACCTTTTAGGATCTGGATTCTGCAAGCTTGATCGGCAACCCACACGCACAGCGTAGCATCTACTTCATGTGCAAACTCACATGAGCAAGAAGTACATGCCCCGTCCCACACCCACAGCGTAGCGTCTACTTCATGTGCAAGTTCACATGAACGCCCCAACCCACACTCTCAGCGTAGCATCTACTTCATGTGCACGTTCACATGAGCGTGAAGTACTGCCCCGTCCCACACCCACAGCGTAGCATCTACGTCATGTGCAAGTTAACATGAGCAAGAAGTACATGCCCCAACCCACACCCACAGCGTCGCATCTGCTTCATGTGCAAGTTCACATGAACGTCAATACATGCCCCAACCCGCACCCACAGCGTAGCATCTACTTCAGGTGCAAGTTAACATGATTGTTAATACATGCCCCACCCCACCTCCCACCCACAGCGAAGCATCTACTTCATGTGCAAGTTCACATGAACGTTAATACATGCCCCACCCCACCCCTACCCCTACAAAACACCACGGCCGTCTAGGGGCCGTGGTCCAACTAGATACATTTATATACACGTATTTATTGCATGTGGAAATGCATAAACAACCAGAGTCTCAACCCTGTATAGAATGCAAATTCTATGGAATGCAAAAAGCATTGGACCATTGGGATTCTGCAGATTGCAGCCATTTTACTTACCGCATTGAATGATGTTGGCTTTCAGAACTTCCTGTGTGCCAGAAACTCACAGGAAATCAAGATCTGTGTCGCACAACCAGGGTCCATTCGCTTTCCTGAGGATCCCTCTCACTCATGACGCTGCCAAGCTGTCCTGTCACCTGGAAAAACGGCTCTCGAGGCATTTATGGCACTGATCTTCCATGGCTTCAAAACAGCACAGGGAGTTATACATAGGAAATCCCACTATATCCCAACTGTACTATGTGTTGGCAAAAACTTAAAGCCAAAAAAGCTAAACAAGCCGCCGTTCAGCTCATGGGCGTGCTTTGGGCTCTTTCAAATCAATGCCATGAGCTTCAATTTGGCATCGAAATCATGTCGGAATGCGAGCCATGAAAGCTGTTCTCTTTTTCTTGCTACAAGACTTGACTATTCTTGATCTGAGCACCAATGAGTCACCTGCATGTGCCCACTGCCATTGGACTTTTGGCCATTCTGCACAGACTCAGCCTTGCCAGGCTTACAGTTTTCAAGAACGAGCCAGCACACTGACCCCTTCCAAGTATATAGTACTGTATACACATATATATATGTATACACATATATGTATATATATATGATATATATATATATATATGTGTAGATAAAAATGTTTATATAAATGAATATATATATATATATGTGTGTGTATAGATTTATATATGTAAATATATGTATATATGTATAAATATATTTATATATGTAGATAAATGTATATACATATATAAATGTATATATATATACAAAAAGATATGCATACACATTTATATACATTTACAAATCTATATATATATATATATTGTATTATATATATATGTATACCCTAAGATTCCAAATGCTATGTTTAATTTCGCAGTTGCTCAAAGACTAAGTTTAACTTAGTATATCTATAGATACGATGTTTAACCCAAGTAAAACTTAGTATTTGTTACACAGCAGTGATGACGCATGATAACGCCAAAACATAAATGTGTGATCTGTCCCCTCCCTCCGCTAATTGTCTACAATCCTTGTTCGGGATTCCCGGCTTCTTCCAAAGTCCTTGCTCTGAAAGATCATGTCGATGCAAACAGAATCAAAGAATAGCATCCCCTGATGCCATATGATAGAGAGGGAGATGGCTGTACCAAGACTGAACTTGATTAGTATTTCAACCAGTTCCACCACAAAGCACACTTTTTCAGCTAATCCTCGACTTGTTGTAGGTCTCTTTGAGACGCCATTTCAAAGTTTTGAGTTTCAGTCTGCTCAAGCAACTTATGTGCTTTTCTCTGGCTTTGCCATCTGATTTTTGCTCCATCGTTTGAGAGTCATCATGGAATCCTCATCACGAAAGGTGTGAACAAAGCGAGCATTGACCCGCAAAGTGCGGACCTCATGGAGGACGTGACAAAATGCCTAGGCAAAACAGCAGGATAAAGGACGCAAGATGCAACAGAACTCTAGAATGAAGCGCAAGAATCAGAAGTATGAGAGACATACAAGCACACCCAGCACACAAGCTAGATGCAGAACTTCTCAAAAAACCAAGGGACATGCCACTTTGGCAACATCACCCAAGCGAGTTTCCCAGCTGAAATACTCATCAAATTCAGTCTCCGGTAAGCCAGCAGATATGTGCGACCAGCACGATAGATTTCGATAGCTCTGAACACTGGCCTGAGCAAGACGTTGATTACTAGGGTAAAAGATATCTTATCCCCCCAAATACCTCCATTTAAGGGTCTTGAAATGATTACTGAAACCACACACTAACCAAAGAACCCAACAATTGTTTACTCTCACTGTGCCAACTGCCCTTCATATCAATGCCGTTGGGGCGCAAATTCCTCGAGGCACGCTCTGAGAGCCCAAAATACCGGTGGATATAGTGGAATGTAGAGGGTGTAAGAATATATATGGTGGTTGATAATTTCGAACCAGGATACCCATTGGGTGGGACCAACTACTGACCTTTTCTAGTTACATGTTGGGTGTCAAAAAAATTGGGGCATCCGATGGCGGTCAAAAACTTAGAACCAGCAGACCACAACCAAATGCAAACTTGAAAAATATAGCACGTGGAATCTTAGGGTATGCGGTGTGTTTGGCAGGCACTGGGTGTGCATTACCATTTGTCGGAATATATAAGTCGATACATCATGGTTGGACCCCTAAAGTTTGAATCATTAAAACAGTCATCCTACATAAGAATCCCATCTCCCTAATATTAAAGCACCCCCAGTGGTCCCAAATATGTGGTATCATGCCCTACTAAGCATTTGTGTGGATATATAAATGCGATCAATAACAATATAATCATAGTATATCATAGTTGGACCCCTAAAGTTTGAGTCATTAAAACAGTCAGTCATCCTACATAAGAATCCGGTCTCCTTAATATTAAAGCACCCCTATTGGTCCCAAATATGTGGTATCATCCCCTACCAAACATTTGTGTGGATATATAAGTCGATCAAATAAACACATCATAGTTAGACTCCTAATGGTTTCTGGATGGTTTTAATATGATGGGGATAGGGTTGGTTGATATTTCATCCATATCGCTATCCCCCTTTCCGGTGAACCCAAACCCACTGGATGCTCCCAAAACAAGATGGGGTCATGGATGGCCCTGGCCACGCAAGGCTGTCCAAAACCTACAGTATAGTGTGGTGATGAGTGGTGCTACATGGTACTACAAGGTGCCAAAATTCTTTGGGGATGTTTGGGCCAAACCAGTGGGAAACCAAAGACCCATCCATTTTCAGCCTGCAATGCAGGCAAGTGTCAAAGCAGTTTCACAAAGATCCAAACGGGGTTCCAAATCATGGAATCGAGGGTCGGCAGTTGTTTCAATCACTTTGTCCATCAACCATTCGGAAATAACCCTGGCACTGAATCCTTTGGCATTCAAATACCATCCATATGTTGTTTCTCGGACCAATGTTTTCACTGAAAAACGTTTCTGGGAGCAGGGGAGTTTCATCCTTCTCTTCCAATCCACAAAATCATCAAACATTTTGTTCACAGGTTCTGTATAACCTCCAGATGTGTCACCAAAGACTTGGAGGTCCAGAAGCATACCCCTTAGCAAACGGTCGGCATAGCTACCAAATCAATAATTGCTTACTTTTTAGGGGGTAGGGTGCCCATCAATACAGTTGTATTTGAAATACTTTTTGAGGGTAAACCTCAAATCATAATAAAGTCTCCTAAATACATTCAAAACTGTGCACTAATAAAGTTGCTGGCCGAATCCATGCAAGGGTCATTGTCGAGCCATTCGAGACTCCAAGTAAGCCAAGATTGAGTATATGAAGAGTACAATGCTTCACAACTGAGAGGTCAAAGAAGTCCACGTTAACCAAGGGACCTTAAGTAGTCAAACATGACAAAACATTGCCAACCGAATACCAACAGAAAATTCAAGACACAAGTTTGATGTGGTTAACCAAGCTACAGAGATTTTGGGCCGGAAGCTCTTCAACCGGGAACTCTTCAGTAGAGCGAAGGGTTGACATCCAACCATCATTGGAACCCACATCATGAAAAACACAGTAGTTCAAGTGTCCAGGTCCAGCAACAGCGCGGCAGCGAAAACACATGTTAGTGCATGTCCACCAAGACTTGTGTTTGAATATGTTTCGGAAAAAGGCCTGATCCCCTCGAATTTCCGTCAGAAGGAAGCGGATACCATGGCAACCAAATCGAATCAGCTTGTTGAAAGACTCAGTGATAAGTTCCAACACTGGGAACAATGTTGCTTCCATTGAAAGAATGTTTTCACTTTCCACAGAGAACAGCAGAAAGCGGCTCAATCTTGTACTTTTTGGTCGGAACAAAGGAAGGTTTGTAAACAAGCCATAGATCTGATTGGTCGGGGCATGAATGAGGCCCATAGCAGCTTCGTCACCATAAAACCCAATTGGCCAAACCCTTCCAGCAGCGTTTCGAAATTCCTGTGTTGACACAGCCAGGTTGTCCTTCACCAACTCTAAGTGAGACCAGTAGTTTGAAACTAAATCGTCATCAAGCCAAAGCCCGCAATCACAGATCAAGTATTTCACAATGTCGTAGGGCAAGTGCAGTGGAAGCGATGTTTCCCCCTCAGAACCATCAGATAGCTTGACAGGAACCTTCACGTAGCAAGGTTCCTTGCAATCTCAAGTAATCCCAAACCGAAAAACAACACAGTTATCACATGGGTGCTGAAGCTTTAGAATCATACTCCCCCCAAGTCTTCGATTTTCAAAAATGATGGAAAGTATTGAAAGAAAAATTGGGCCAACGCCTTGTCAGGGCTCCAGTGGAAGAGGATTGTTGCGAAAGAAATCACGCGATTCATTGCCAAGAGTGTAGGCAGCAAGCTTGGAAGTAAATTCACTGGTGTTTCCCTGTGATTCCTGAACAAGGTTGTAGGGCAAACTTGAAATGAAACATATGAAATACAAACACAATAATATATATATATATAACATACAGTAGCATAGAGCGTGTGCATGGGGTCCTTGTGGGTTGCCCTGGCTGATTTCATAGCACCTTTCGCGCTTGTCTCCTGCAATGTATTTCGTGCACATCATACCAGTAGTAGAGTCAGTGCTCACAAATACAAACAGCTCGCACCGCAGTGCCAATTTAAAGACCTTCAGCCAAAACACACCGGAGGCAAGCTTTTCACAGATATCTCGCTCAAAAGGAGTGGAGGCATCACCTGCGCAGAGAGTGCACATTGTTGCGTACGTACAGCTCATGTTGGAACTGCACCCACAGCTGAATCCAAACACTGTCAAATCAAACTGTCATAGCAAACTTTTTTCCTCGCTCTCTTTCTCGTGTCTCAGCTGGCACAAATGGCACAGACATACGATTGGGATCAATAGTTTATAATCGGCCATACCCCTGCTGCCACACAAGAGCTGCTGCCACACAAGCTGTAGATGCCTGTGCATATATGTATGCGTCACAGTAGTTACTTTATCACTTTTCTGGATCTGAGGGGAATGGTTGCATACCTATGCACGTGAAGCAGTGAAGCACCTTGAAACGACCTTTCACTCCAAGCCGCAGGTGATCACATGACACACGCACCTGTAATGCTAAGACGACCTACAAGACATGGGCTGTGCACACCACTTGGCTCGGTATGACTCAGTATACCAAGAAACTAACAAAATGACTCTATCTATTCTGGCTGTATTTGTTTAGCTGAATTTCAGTTTCAATTCAGTTTTAAGACTGGGCCTTGAAAGTGGCGGATATGTACCCAATGCCTTTGGAAAAGTTGATCATATATGATCTAAGCCTTTCTTGCCTTTTGCACTTTCAGCGGCTCACATACCTTCTCGAGATCCTGCTTTGCGGAAACACATTCCTGGATCTCTTCAGAGGTGGCCTGGTCATCAAAATGAAACTTGATGGTGTGAAAGCAGGAGTCTAATGAAAATCCAGAATAGAATCGAAACATGGGTCAGCGATAGCTAAAGCAAATTTGTAACAACATCTTAGGCCTCTCCAGAGTCAACTGCTTTCTGGAGATTTGTGCGCGCATCCTGGTCCAGGTACTGAGATGTACAGACATGTAGTAGCACACCAGGCCGCTAATGTTGGAACTGTTGCTGAAATAAATTCTGTGCAATTACAAAATGTATTGCCTCGCATGTTCGCTTCTTCTCGTCAAAGTCTTCCTTCACCGATGCTTTGAACTTGTCACTCCTTGTCAAGGTGCAACATAAAGTAAATCGTTCAATGCAACTAATAGTTGCGGTTCGAAAGAAATCAGAGCATTCCAGATATGAATTATGTGGTGTAGTTGTGTTCTGAGGCCCTGGCAGGCTTTCAAGGTTTGCGTGCGATCCATTCGCCCATCTCAACTTGTTGCTGGCATCAGACAACGCCTGCATGATATGCATTTAAAGACTTGCAAAACCAATTGCAATTTCACTTAGACCTGACCTCTCAAATCCTGCCTTCTTGGCTTCTTTGAGCTGCCTTTTTTCTTCGTCTGCCTTTTGGTCTGCCTCAGTCTTCTCGGGCTTCTCCTTCTTCTCTTTCTTTGCCTTGGCTGCCTTCTTTTCCTGTCCCAGAACATCGCAGAAAAGCAATCTAGAAAATCAACAGGCGCGAACATCAATAACATGGCACATTGGTTGCTGTATAATGTAACGTACCCGGCCTTTTTGTCTTTCTTTACCTTTTTGACCCTTTTAGCAGTATCCTTTGGCTTTGCTCCTGACCCTGCCCCGCTCTTCGACTTCTTTGAAGCTTCAGAAGAACTCGATGAAGAATCTTCATCGACAGCCCTGAACAAACGCTCGATCTCCTCACAGGTTTCTTCTGCACCAAGCAAGGAGCAGGACGCTTAAACAAGGAATGTGCTAACTTCATGGGAAAATGGAAAAACCGGAAATACAGATCCCATATGGTTCGCACATATGCCACAAATCTATACAAATCTCACAAACACCCCACTCCCCATAATTCGAGCCTCAGTCTGTGGAAGCTCTGGATGAAACCTGGTTTCCTTCTCGAACAGCTTTGGGTCTGTACGCTTGTGTAAGCGCATGGCTTCAGCGATAGGTTCTGTAAACTTTGTGTTCATCTCATGTTCAAGCAGCCACTTTCGCACACCGCGTTTCTTTGAGCTATGTCGAGTCTTCAGGCTGCTGCCTCAGGTTTGGTAACAAATAGCATGTGCACAAGTATGTCATAATACCCCATTCTCAGACATCAAAGATATCCAAGTAACTTCCTTTGGCTTCCTTGCCCATAAGTCGAAGTTCTTTCGGAGTGTCTTTATCTTAGTGGAAAGCACATTTATTGTTTAATGCAAGCTAGTGAAAGCAAAATTCTGTGACAACTGGCACCTACATTGGTAACACATCCCTGGAAGTAAGATATGGACGCCTGATGTTCCTGTAGTAGCGCATGTACCTTGCATGGGCCTCAGCCTTTTGCTTCTCTGCTTTCGTCTTTCCAGTGTCTTTCCCAGGCTGAATGTCATCTCCATTCTTGTCGTCTCCCCCTTTCTGTGCCTCAGCCACTTTTATGATTTCTGTTGCTCTGGCCATCATCTCTGTCGCTTTTGCAATCATCTCTTGGGCTTCCTCTTCTTTGGCTTTCTTCTTCTCTGCTTCAATCCTCAGTGCCTCTTCCTTCTGAGCATCTTCGCTCTTCTTCTGCTCATTGTCTTTTGCCTTCAGCGCCTCTTTCTTCTGTTCCTCTTCGTGCTTCTGCTGCTCATCTTCTTTGGTTTTTTTCTCTGCTTCAGTGCCTCCTCCTTCTGAGCATCTTCACCCTTCTTCTGTTCATCTTCTTTGGCTTTCTTCTCTGCTTCAATCCTCAATGCCTCTTTCTTCTGATCCTCTTCAAGCCTTTTCTGCTCATCTTATTTGGTCTTCTTCTCTGCTTCAATCCTCAGGGCCTCTTTCTCCTGTTCCTCTTCGTACTTCTTCTGCTCATCCTCTTTGGCTTTCTTCTCGGCTTCAATCCTCAGTGCCTCTTGCTTCTTTTCCTCTTCGCGCTTCTTCTGCTCATCTTCTTTGTCTTTCTTCTCTGCTTCAATCCTCAGTGCCTCTTTCTTTGCATCATCTTCGCGTTTGTGTAATGCATCTTGCTCTTCTTTGGCTTTCTTCTCTGCTTCAATCCTCAATGCCTCTTTCTTCTGATCCTCTTCAAGCCTTTTCTGCTCATCTTCTTTGGTCTTTTTCTCTGCTTCAATCCTCAGCGCCTCTTTCTTCTGTTCCTCTTCGCGCTTCTTCTGCTCATCGTCGTTTGCCTTCTTCTCTCCTTCAATCCTCAGTGCCTCTTTCTTCTGTTCCTTTTCACGCTTCTTTTGCTCATCTTCTTTGGCTTTCTTCTCTGCTTCAATCCTCAGTGCCTCTTTCTTTGCAGCATCTTCGCGTTTCTTCTGTAGTGCATCTTGCTCTTCTTTGGCTTTCTTCTCTGCTTCAATCCTCAATGCCTCTTTCTTCTGATCCTCTGCAAGCCTTTTCTGCTCATCTTCTTTGGCTTCCTTTTCTGCTTCAATCCTCAGCGCCTCCTCCTTCTGAGCATCTTCGCGTTTCTTCTGTTCATCTTCTTTGGCTCTCTTCTCGGCTTCACTCCTCAACGACTCCTCCTTCTTCTGCTCATTGTCTTTTACCTTCTTCTCTGCTTCAGACCTCGATGCTTCTGTTGCCTCTTGGTTTGCAGTTTCCTCTGCCTGCATCAAAAGTTGCCGTGCTTCTTCCAGCATCTTTTTCGCTTTGGCTTGCTCCTCAAGTGCTTTCTGCATAATCTCTTGGCCTTCTTGTGCTGCTGCTGCCTCCAACTTTTTCTGAAACGGGGAAAGTTCACCAGTTTTGGACCTGTGAAGCTGAAGTGCCACAAAACTTGCACTGGGTCCCACAGTGGAATGGCTCACATCACTTCTGGCCCTGCCAATGCTTGGAACAGGTGAAGGAGATCCGGTGGATGTTGATAGGTCACCATGCTTCAGCTGCTCCTTCACTCTTGCATTGTATGCATCCCAGTCGTAGGTGTTGAACTTGTAGTATTCAGAGTTTGGATCCCAGTATGCTCTGTGGTGAGGTTCAGGTCTCCAACCAGCAGGTGGCCAGTTGGCCCACTATGGTGCCAAAAAAAGTTAGTAACTGGTTATAACTGAAGTTATACAAAAAGTTATGAAAAGTTATGAAGTGAAGAAAATATCAACTATTTTATCACATTTTTATAACTTGGAAAAATTGAAAAAAACACTTGTTTTTAGTGTATCGAAAACAATAGTTTTTCTAGTTATAGCGGTTGAGCCGCTTCGAAGTTGTTTTTTAGAAAAAATCGCGGTTTTCATCGCTTCCATGGCTGAGGGAATGTGCAACTGGTTTTTAAACAGAACAGGCCACTGTGGGAGCGCGCCTTTTTAGGTGCTTTATGCACCTGCAATGGGTTAGTTTGCTCTTTGCAATCTCACCTTTGCAGTTTCTTTTCTTTTTACAAAGACAAAAAAAAAAACAAAAAACAAAAAAACAAGAAACAACAAAAATACCCAACAAACTGCATCTGACCCCCTCCCCTTGAGGTGTGCAATCTTGTTTTTTTTTGTTTTTTTGTTTTTTTGGTGTTTTGCTTTCTTGGTTCGTTGTTATTTTGAGGGACTGGCAAAAAAAGTGGCAGGATCTAACTCTTTGCCACTTTTCCCCCCTTAGGCATTGCAAATTTGTTTGTGGTTGTTTCTGCTTGCTTTAGGTCTCTGGTTCCATTAGAAACCATGTAAAAACCAAGGAAAAACAGGTATCCTTGGGGGAAGGTTAGGGGCTTGGGGCATGGATTAAGCAATTTTGTTTTTGACTTATTTTTGAAAACATGCCAGAAGACTATGAAAAAACAAAGGCAGCCAATGAGTACGTTTTTTGATATTGACATTGCTGACTATAAACCCCAGTTTCCCCTAGTACATCCCAATATATCCCACCCATATGGGAATGTCTCAAAATGAGGCGAGCCCTTTTTTTTTAAAGTAGCGTTTTGGGGGTCAAAAAAGGCGCGCCTCATTTTGAGACGTCCCCATATACCACAGAGGTCTTTACAGGATTAGATTAGATCATTTTACAGAGGTCTTTACAGGCTTGGGTGAGGGACTGAGGGATTGAATTAGATTAGATTGGATTAGATTAGGTTAGATAGATTGGATTGGCTTGGCTTGCTTTGGATTGGATTGGATTGGGTGAGGGACTGGATTGGATTAGATTAGATTAGATAGATTGGATTGGCTTGGCTTGGATTGGATTGGATTGGGTTGGTTTGGACTGGATTGGATTGGATTAGATTAGATTAGATAGATTGGACTTGACTGGATTGGATTGGATTAGATTAGATTAGATAGATTGGATTTGAGTGGGTTGGATTAGATTGGGTTGGGTTGGATTAGATTAGATTAGGTTAGGTTAGATTGGATTGGATTTGGTTTTGTTGGATTGGAATTAGACTGGATTGGATTGGATTGGATTGGATTGGAATTAGATTAGATTAGATTAGATTGGATTAGATTAGCTTAGATTAGTTTAGATTAGGTTGGATTGGATTGGATTGGATTTGATTGGATTGGATGGGGTTGTTGGATTGGATTGGATTGGATTGGGTTGGATTGGATTGGATTGGATTGGATTGGATCAGATTAGATTAGATTAGATTGGATTGGATTGGATTAGGGAGTGTACCAGTATACCACCAGTGTGCCACCAGTATACCACCAGTATACCACCAGTATACCACCAGTATACCACCAGTATACCACCAGTATACCACCAGTATACCACCAGTATACCACCAGTATACCATGGTATACGGTCAGTATACCATGGTATACGGTCAGTATACCATGGTATACGGTCAGTATACCATGGTATACGGTCAGTATACCATGGTATACGGTCAGTATACCATGGTATACCGTAGTATCCCCAAGTAAAACCCAGTTTCCCCTAGTATATCTCAATATATCCCACCCATATACCACAGAGGCCTTTACAGCACTTCAATAAGATTGGATTGGATTGGAATTAGATTAGATTAGATAGATTGGATTGGCTTGGCTTGCTTTGGATTGGATTGGATTGGGTGACGTTAGATTAGAGTAGGTTAGATTGGATTGGATTGGGTTGGATTGGAATTAGATTAGATTAGATTAGATAGATTGGATTGGATTGGAATGGATTGGGATGGGTTGGGTTGGATTGGACTGGATTGGATTAAAATTAGATTAGATTAGGTTAGATTGGATTGGATTGGGTTGGATTGGAATTAGATTAGATTAGATTACATTAGATTGGATTGGATTGGCTTGGATTGGATTAGATTGGATTAGATTAGATTAGATAGATTGGATTTGATTGGATTGGATTGAATTGGATAGGATTGGATTGGATTAGATTTGATTTGGCTAGATTAGATAGATTGGATTGGATTGGATATGATTGGATTGGATTGGACTGGATTGGATTGGATTTGTTTGGGTTTGATTGGATTGGATTGGATTATATAGATGAGATATCTCTGGATTGGATTGGATTGGATTGATTGGATTAGATTAGAGTAGATTAGATACATATATCAATGAACAGTAATCCAGGTTTCCACGGATGCTGCTTTTTCAAAGGAAGATTGTGTTGCCATAAAGGACAATGCTCTGTTGTAAGGAGCGAAAAAACATTCTGAAAAAATCTCACATTTCAAAACATATTGCACTTTTGAAAGGGATGCTCTATGTCAAAAATACTGCATATTGTGCAGCAATATTGGCTTTTCTAAAAGGGATACTGCTCCTTTGAAAGGAAGGTTAGACATGTGGAAATAACAAGATTTCCTTTGAAACGGGCCCCCAAGGTGAAAGAGGTCCTGGCCAAGAATGTTCCTTATGCGCGCGAAGCCCCCAAGATTAATTTCGACCGAGTTTTTCATACAAAGGCAAAAACTCGGTCGAAATTAATCTTGGAGGCTTCTAGGCCAGGACCCCTTTCACCTTGAGGACCCCTTTCAAAGGAAATTTTGTTAAATGCACACTGTACTCCTCCAAAGGGCATGGTGTATCTTTTAAAGGAACATTTGATATTTCATAGGGATATTGTTCTGCAAAAACACACTGCGTTGCTCCAAAGGAAGATTGCACTTATGAAGAAGGGTATGCTGCATTTCTGTTTTGAATACTGCATGCATTTGTTGGCAGGTATGGGTATGTTGATGTATATTGTAATTACGTTGAAGACATCTAGGATATCCGGCAAAAATTGAGTTTTGTCAAAGGGACTCTGCAGCATTTAGCCAAGGTAAAGTGAACACCTGGACACTTCTTCAAGCAATACATCCTCTCTAGTGGACATGAACACATCTTCATTCACAGTCTGGGTTTTAACACGTGATTAATTATAGTGTTTGACATGCTGAAAACGGCTGTTCCAACAAAAATGGCTTTTAGTTGCTTTTAGCGGTTTGAAAACCGCTCCATTTGGCATTTTTTTGAGCAGTTGAAAACGCTTCAAACAGCAAACACTCAAAATCATCAAACAGATCAAAATTTGATCACTTTTAAAGACACTTTTTTTATAGCAAAAAACAAGTTACAAAAAGTTAGCTAAGAAGTTATGACTTAGTAACTGGGATATAACCCTAGGTTATAATCCAGTTACTAACTTTTTTTGGCACCATAGCATGTGTGCCACTCGTCCTCTGCATCCTGTCTCCACTGCGAGTGTCCTCCAGAGTGGAAAGTCTCGTAGGGTTGTGTTATGTCAGAGTCACGGGCGGTATCTAACCTTGCAAGCTGTGCATCATTCTTACCCTCGGTTTTCTTCTCACCGCGTTCCTTCTCAGAAACATTCTTTTTCTTAACGATGACCTTCCTCACCTTTTTCTTTGGTTCGCATTCAGGTCGACCTGAACAACAAGAACGATCGCAGTGTTAAATATCCTGAGGTTTAGAACACAAGTACAAAGTTAAGACATCTCAGCTGATCAGAGTACATGTCAGTGTTGGGAAGGGCAAAGGGAGACTACAATATTCTTGAAACTTGCTCAGTAGGAAGTAACATTGCAACAAATCAGCAAATCAGCCCCAGTTGCCTCCCAGAACTTCAGTAGAGTCTGATGCATTGGCTTCTGATCCAATGCTTACCCCAGACGACCCTTCTGAATCCACAGCAATCACCTTACTTCTCCTCAACTTTGCCTGTTCGATATGAGCTCTGAGCTCATCCGCCATGTGAACCAAGCCTAAATTGTCAGGTGTTGGCAAGACAGGTGGCCAAATGGCTACAGAACGAATCCATTTCACCAGATTAGTTGTTGAAGCACACAGCCGAAACAACCCATTGTGGCATGGCATGTGCCATCAAATTCAGCTTTTAATATCTTGCAATGTAACACGCAGAAACACATTTCTGTTTTTTGGCACCAGATGCTACCAGGAATTTTCACATCCTGGATCAAATTGCACTAATTGCAACGCTTTGTGCAGTGGCATCACCAAGGAACGCATTTCTTGGATAATGTCATCTCAATTTTTCCTAAAAACGGAGTGGTTGGATTTCACGCGCTTTCACGGGTAAACTTGGTATTTCACGGGCAAACTAGGTATTTCACGGGTAAACTCCCACGATTTCACGCGCCACCATTTTTACCAAAAGAATGTGTTGATATGGTTTGATGAGAAAAGGTTTCAACTATTTCTTCAGGGTACCAAAAATCAGTAATCGATCCACCAATGGCCACACATAAGAGTCAGAGTTCCAAACCCAGAGAATGGTGCACCCATGTTGGAATCAGAGTTTGGGCCATTTCAGGACCCTGTATCATACATCATGGTCAAAGCACTCAGAATCTGAACCATTTTACTCTTAAAGGGGATGGCTATCACTTGTATAAGATGTTTCGGGCCATAAAGATAATTCTGCCTGGGAAGCCTTCAAACCTTCAATTGATGTCTGCCACGGTGCCACTGCATGCTGGCAGGCCAGCAAAGTCAGCTGCTTTTGAGACAAGTGCAAAGGCGGGGGCACTGGAGGGGCATTTGTGTTCCCAGTGGTATACGAAAATTCTGGAAAGATGGATAAATTAGTATCGAGCAACACCCCCATGCCCATCTCAGGACTGATTGACCAGTCATGGATTGTCCAATGACTGGATATATATTTATATATATATATATATATCGGATATATTCTTTCAACTGCTTCAAGCCTGCTTTTTTCCAAGCACCACGGTGTTTCACCTCAGATATCAATGTGCTTGAAGCAAGAGGGTCTGGAAGTCATGGTATCACCAAGTGAAAGAGAGAGAGAGGGATATAGTGATGGCATTGGGTGTTTTTTTGCACTGGAGAATCTCACACCACTATGGTACTATGCTTCGTTCAGATGATTCCTTTTGGGAACCAGGGCTCGGACAGGAATTGCCTTCTTGGTCCGAAGATGGAACCAAGCTGATTTAACTGCAGCTTGAAGCTTCAACCCCTTGGTGTCCTAATATCAGCTTCCATTTTTTGGAGTCAAAATTCAATATATATATATATATAGCTATCTATATATATATATATGTATATAAATGTATCATGAAACTGCAAACGAAAGAATCATCCCCCAAAGCAGTCCATCTTTGCTGTGTGAAGATCTCGGATTCTTCGCCCGAAGCCCTTTGGGTAGAGTTGTGTTTTCTTCAGTCCGGTACCTCCTGTCCTGAGTCATCAGGCAGAACAGGTATACACAGCACAAAGCGATTTCCAAGAAACCATGATGCAGTTTGTTTGGCAACTGCTATATTATATAAATATATATTATATATTATATGATAGAATCCAAGCCCTTGGCACAGAAACGGATCCATCATCTTTGCGACTCTTGATGGTGATCTTCAACTTTTTGGCAGCTTCTGCCAGTTTTTTACGCTGTTCCTTCTTGAGAGTGCGGCGAAGGCCTGCCATCCACAACCTTGCGCTGGTGGGCAAATTTGGTGACATTGACTTCTGGGGTGTGGAAGCCAAGAACTGAGGTGCTGGCGATGTTCCCCAAATCCGGGATGGTTTTGGGCTTGGCGATCCACATGACCCCATCGAACTAAGTGGAGGAGATTGCGATCAATCAAGTGGGAGACAATCAGGGAAAACGTGCTATGGGTCAAACTTGTATAGATTGATCCAGCTCCCAAATGTTTCATATGATGGGATACAATGTGCTCCCTTTAGATTTTGCCATACTTTGACCCATAGTGTTGGTAGTGTTAACTAACATGAGATGCATTCATGTTACGTGAATCACTCTGGGCTGCTGACAAGAACTGCTCTCCCCAGAAAGGGCCCAGATACTTGAGAATCAGTTGGCCTGTTCGTAGAAGGTCAGGGAAAAACCTCATCCTTGAATTGGCTGGCTGTTCAAGTGTCACATAAGCCCCTCTGCATGTGGCTAATATCACCAGGAGAAGGGTGCGAGCTGCAAGCCTCAGTACAGGACAGGGAATGAATCGCTGTGACATGTTGATTTGGCGTAGATCCACCCACAAAGTGGAAACAACATCTACCTTTTATGTAGTAAACTTATTGGATTCGGAACCCATTGGGCAAAAACTGGGCACCCCCAATTCAATTGTAATTATACTGTTCTTTTTTTCAGTGGGGGTTGCTCCAACTTTCTACCACATCACTGCCATATGTGGAAGATAATCCCACTTGGTAAATGGTTTAAAAAACCGGTTACCTAAGCCCTCCCAGTAGATCATCCAATTATTGATTATCACTGGTGGTATATAACCCAACTTACTAACCACTTACTAATGGGATGATCTTCCAAGTATTTCATAAAACAAATCATGAAACAACATGTGTTAGTTACCACCCCCACCTCATTTTGGGCCAGTGACATCGACCCTATGTTGACCCACTCCTTGTCTTCAAAACCATATATAAGGTTTGTGTTCTCCCCAGCCATGGCTGGAAGACGATATCCAAACAAACGATCCACATGGTGGACCCAGGGTCATCAAACCATCTGCTCTAAGTCGTAAAACCGACAGGATGGCTTCATAGAAGCCTCGCCTCACCAAAGGCATCTGGTGGGTGGATCGAGCTGGGAGTTCGGAGGGCTAAATTTCAAGGGTGCTAAAATGAAAGATATATTATATGGCAAGTGTCCAGTGGGCACAAGTAAGAGCCAGGCCCTGTTGTGAGGTCGTTCGCAGGCCCCCGGTGTGTGATTTCGTAGTACTCCCTTCGTCTCAGAATGTGCTAGAAGGGAAACTTCAATTTTGTTAGTGTCAACCCTGGATTAATAAACCGCACGATGGCTGTTTAATTGGGATGATGCCTCTATATTATTTTTATGGGGAAACCCATTGTTCATTAATCCAGGTTTGGCATATATGTAAATCGGGGAACCATTGCAATTCCAAATTTGGAGAGAACTATATAGGGCTGCTGCGCAGCATGTCCTCGTTCCCCTCATTTTTTCATCAGTTGTGCTTCCCAAAGTCAACATCGAGTCAAGACTTCAAAATGCAAAATGCATGGAGTGACTTTGAAAGAGTAAAACTAGGTGTCAAACTGAAAGCATTGTATATGGCACCACCTCCACTGAACACATCGAGGTTGACCAAGTCCTGGGCATTCACTTGCACAAGATTGTACCACATGCTGTAGATCCTTATGAACAATAATTGCCACTACTATAGCATAACATAGACCCGGGCAAGCCGGCGGCGGAAGTTTCCCAAACATAAATGACCTATAGTTCAAAGACACCCTGTCCCGACCGTGTCCTTCCCTCGACAACCGTTTGATTTTTTCAGCGAGAGACGAAGCAAAGTCTTCACACTCCACACTCCACACTGCACTCTTCGCACTCCAAACTTCAAACTTCACACTCCACACTTCACACTTCACACTGCTTCCTTCACACTCCAAACCTCACACTTCACACTTCACACTTCACACTGCGCTCTTCACACTCCAAACTGAAACTTCACACTTCACACTTCACACTCCACACTTCACACTTCTCACTTCCCACTGATTCCTTCACACTTCATACTTCACACTGCACTCTTTATGCCCCACACTTCACACTGCTCCAAACCTACGTGCAACAAAAACAACATTAGTGCCAAAATAGAGAAAATCTGCTAACAAATTTATTTCGTAGCCTTCATGCAGCCACTCCAAGACGATTTCCGAGATCCAGCTGCAAAAGACAATAGTATTACAAATGCAGCCACAGCACGAAGCAACTTTGACGCAGCCATTCCAATAGGATCTGCAGAGACTGAGTTGCAAAACGCAATAGAACTACGCGCAACGGCGTCGGAAATTGTAGCTCCAAAACCGGATCTCGACGCCAGAGCGAAAAAAAGACGATTTTGAAGCACTTTTTAAAAGAATTTTTAGAAGGAAAATCACTAGCGCCAAAATGGAGCAAATCTGCTAACAAATCCATTTCGCACCCTTCATGCAGCCACTCCAAGACGATTGACGAGATCCAGCTGCAAAAGACAATGGTATTTCGCATGGAGCCACAGCACGAAGCAACCTTGACGCAGCCATTACAATGCGATCTGCAGAGACTGAGTTGCAAAACACAATAGAACTACGCGCAACGGCGTCGGAAATTGTAGCTCCAAAACCGGATCTCGACGCCAGAGCGAAAAAAAAGACGATTTTGAAGCACTTTTTAAAAGGATTTTTAGAAGGAAAATCACTAGCGCCAAAATGGAGAAAATCTGCTGACAAATCACTGTGGCAGCCTTCATGCAGCCACTCCAAGACGATTTACGAGATCCAGCTGCAAAAGACAATAGTATTACGAATGCAGCCACAGCACGAAGCAACCTTGACGCAGCCATTACAATGCGATCTGCAGAGACTGAGTTGCAAAACACAATAGAACTACGCGCAACGGCGTCGGAAATTGTAGCTCCAAAACCGGATCTCGACGCCAGAGCGAAAAAAAGACGATTTTGAAACACTTTTTAAACGGATTTTTAGAAGGAAAATCATTAGCGCCAAAATGGAGAAAATCTGCTGACAAATCACTGTCGCACCCTTCATGCAGCCACTCCAATACGATTGACGAGATCCAGCTGCAAAAGACAATGGTATTACGCATGCAGCCACAGCACGAAGCAACCTTGACGCAGCCATTACAATGCGATCTGCAGAGACTGAGTTGCAAAACACAATAGAACTACGCGCAACGGCGTCGGAAATTGTAGCTCCAAAAC